CGCTTGATCAGTTGCGTGTTGCAAAATTTTTCGCGTAGTTGTTTTTCTTTGTTCCGTTCAACTGACCTTCCAGCGCCAGTTGTTCACTGTCATTTTCGAACGTTTCATTGCTCTACCAGTTTATTTTCCAGTAGGTTAAAATAAAATCAATCAATTTTTATAATTAATTAACTATCTTGATGTATTCATCAAACAGAAGATGAACAACGGCAAGCGTCATTCCATGTCAAATTTTTCAGCGTTTAGTGTTTCTAGTAATTGAGATTAGTTAATTTAATCCATTTTAGATGTTGTTTCTCCTACTTGATCTTTGTTTTACCATAAGCATCAGTAACTGAAGATTTTACCACAAGTTGAAATTGTCTGACAACGGTGGAAAATAAAAATTTGAGTACCAACAAATGCACCTGCACTCTCTCAGTACCTCAGGCTGTTGACAGTCAGTTTTCTCATTCAGTTTCATGTCGGCCATGAGAAGGCATAATTCATCATTGATGATCATAATTCATCACTCTATGATCAAAAAATTCTTCAGACAGCTCCGAGTGTTATGACGCTACTTGCGCAACTTTCTGTTACATAGGGTGGTCGAAGCCGACAGCAGCCCCTATTAAACAGGACAGGCCACTTCGATTTTTGTTGTTTCTGTTCGATAATTTATTTCAACTAGGCAAGTTCGTTTGGTGGGCTGCTCATCGGTGTTAGTCGCTTTAGTATTCTGACAGATTTCTGTTGTTATCTAGCAGAGTTTCCGCGCGTAGCTTGTGCCACATGATGTAATCCTGCAAAATGCATGTGTTGTTCTGCGCAATCAACTGCAACGTAATTTTGTTGAAAACAGTTCGTCAGGAAGAGCAATAAATTTGCCGTGACGCCAATATCTTGTAAATGAAGGAAGGAGGGCTTGTCGCAGCACAACATTAATTGCCAGTCTAACTAAATGCTTGTTGTTTCCTCAAAATTTAACCTATCGCCCATAAATTCTCCTAAATTGCTCCGATAGATCAGAGAGTTAGTACACCGTTTAAAGCAGTCGGTCATTTGAGCCCGTGTCGGTTAAAGATCTACTGCGCCAATCATGAAGTAGCAGAAAATTCCATTGATTATTTAACCTAGTAGAGTATATCATCCGGAATTGGTTTGAGCATATTGATCTTCAGCCTTTCGTACGTAAATTGTTTTTAAAGTATTTCTTCCTTCTTTTTGTCATACAACGAATTCGACCGTTGCACTTTCAAGCTGCTACACAGTCCAATATCGTTAAAGATTCAGTAATCTTCTTCAGGGAGGAAGCACAATCGTGATAACGTTTTTTGCAAATTATAGCGCAAGCCAAGTAGAATAATATTGCTTCAGGTATTTTAAGATTGACAGTCAGCTATCATAGAAGTTAGCTCATTTTGCTGTTGTAAAATAAAGGAACAATTCACCTCATGACTTGACTTCGTGAAATAAACAGTTTCTCTTGCTTTAAGATAATGTCAAAATTTTAATCGTTTGAAGGTATTTGGCCAGACCATTCGCCGGCTCCAAGGTGAAAAGTAGGGCAGTCTAAGAGTCTTGAAGGACAGGACTGGACACTTACCAAGGATGGTGACATTCTTCGGCGATGTAGAAGTGCTTTGAGTAACTCTTAAATCCCGAGCAACCGCAGGTAGACTCACCCGTGAGCGGCTGGGAAAAGATATTACTCTTTCTGTAGATAAAATTACACAAGCCTTTAAAGTTGAAACGCTGCTGAAATCAGTGAAATACTTAAAGCATTAGGCAAACAGGAAATGTGCTGGCCTACACGCTTGCATCATAGGGAGTGCTCGAGTTATTGGGGCATTACCTCATTGAGTCTCCCGGGTAAAGTCTACGAAAAGGTGTTAGAATGGATGTATCTCGAAGCAGCTGACTCTAAAATTCAAGAAAAATGTTATGCTTTCATGCCAAGCTGAACCACTTCTTACCAGGTTTTGCCTTACAAGGGGTTATTGGGGAAAATCATGTGAGTTCGCCCTTTCGGCTTATATGTGCTTCGTGTACCTAGAGAAAACCTGCGACCGGATTCTACGCAACAAGCTCTTAGCCTTCTTGCAAACAAGGGAAATCGCTGTTTTCGTCATGGCCATAGGTGAGCATGGGTATGAAAATCGACTTGAACACAGTGCTTAGTCTTCAGACTCAGCTTTGCTTTAGTCACAACGCTCAAGGCTAGTTCACACAGAACGCCACTGGCTACTCCAATTCGCCGGTCCATCTCTTCCTCCAACTTTCCATTACTAGTAAATATAGTTCCGAGGCACTTGAACTTCTCCACCTGCTCCACTGCCTCTCCGTTAATCTGAAGA